AATATGTAGATTGAGTAAATTCTATCTAAAAATTTCAGAAGAAATTTCGTTTATTAGTAAAAGTATAATTTTTAATGATGCTGTGATTATTGATTTAGTTAGCTGTGATGGAGTTAAGTGATAATTTTATAAAGTCAAAAAGTTAGTTTTTCAAGCAAAGGAATAATTTTTAGACTCTAAAGTTAGTAACACCCAAAAATGTAGTCATTTGGTGTATTTTTATGATGAACAAAATTTAAAAAAGGTATGAATATTTTTTCAAAAAAGGGGTTTTGAAGGGGGGGGGCACAATGTTGCCGAAGGGGGGGGACCAAAATTTTTTTTTGGCGCGCTTACGCGCGCAAATTGTGCCCCCCCAAAAAACAAAAGCCCTCGTACGCCCCTGCAGGTGGTGAATAGTTTTAAATATCCTGTTCCATATGGTGCAATTATAAATTAAAGACTTTTCGCAGTTTATTTCGTTAAAAATTCTTTTGCTCAAATCTGTTAAATCTTAATGAAATCCAATTTACTATTTTATGAATGACATATTATTTTTAATTATTCTCCTTGGTATCAAACAACTTAACAAATCATGGAAGAATACATTTAAAACTGTTTACCAACTGTTATGTTTCGTGGGACACCCAGTATGATATGGGACACCCTGTACATATGTACATACTTCTTGGTAGGCAATTATAGCAATACAATGAAGACGACTTATTCTGTCTTCTATGTTTCTATGTGTATCCATGCTGTTAAGAGCTTTCTATATAAAAATTAAAATGGAAAGCCGTCTTTTTTATATTCATATTATCGCCTACCACTAAACAAAAATGTATACGAAAGTTCCAATAACTTCTATTTGTAACTTAATATATGTAAATTAAATTTTACGAACTTGATTAGTTGATTGAAGAAAATCTTATCTTTTATAACAACACGGGGCATTCTTAGACAAAAACGCTCCGGCTCACCGTATTTTGTTTGTTCAAAAAACATTGCGCGGTCTGAGGATCATTTGAACTTCTCATTAAACTGGGGCCGAATTTAAATAATTTGAGCCGCGGCTAAGTTCGGGCACTGGATAGATATATATATCAAATATTTTTAAATAAATCCGATACATTTTATTAAGTGGTCAAAAGTTTAAAATAACTTAACCTAGCTGTTGAATGAATGTTTCGGGTTATTTCCTAGAGAACGATTTTTGGACCCTGACCCCCCCTTTCCTTTCAATTTTGTACATGAATTTCTTATGTAACACATGGACATAATTGGTCATGTGGCCGCAGCGCTCGGCCCCCTAGTCTGACCAAGCCGCAGCGCTCAACCCGTAGCCTGTCCTAGCCGCAGCACTCGGCCCAGAAATTGTCATAATCTAAAACTTAATCCTAAAGTTTTAAAATATAAATTTTAATAATTTTGCTGAATAATGTGGTCATGCTCAAAATTCTTAGGAATGGGGAGGGGTCTTAAAATCGTTGTCTAGGATAGACCATTGTTCCGTAGCATTTATCGGTAATTTCCTAGAGAATAATATTAGATATGTGACACAGTTTTTAAGGAAGCACTAGGATAATTTTCCAGAATGGCCCAGTCATTTTACTGTGTTCCCACCATGTTTGGCCTGTTTTAACCTTTTTTAACTAATTTTGGCTAAATAGGGTTAACTCTGTTATCTTTCAAGGGATTTTAAAGAGTGATACCATTTTGGAAATCCTTGGTTAAAACTAAAGTTGACAATTTTTTTCTAGTTTTTTGTTTTTTCAAATATACAGTAAAAGGTGATAAAAAAACGCGTCTTCTACACCCTTTTCAGCTCCGTATGGGAGTGGTTACTGGTTATAGTAATTTTTTTTGACTCAACACCATACTATTTATATTTAAGACAGGATTAAGTTAGCCATGTAGCCGCAGCGCCCGGCCCCCTAGCCTGTCCTAGCCAAGGCGCTCGGCCCAGAAAGTGTCTAAACCTAACTTAAACCTATATATACTCTAGTTTTGTTGAAAGTTGAAATTATGTCCTGGCCGCAGCGCTCGGCCGTCTAGCCTGTCCTAGCCGCAGCTCTCGGTCAGAAATTGACCTGACACAACCAAACCTTAAAAAATAGAAAATAAATATTTTTTCGTTGAAAATAGTTTAAATCTAGGTCATGTACAAAATCGATAGGAGGGGGGGGGGGGCTCCAAAAATTGTTTTCAAGGACAGACACCATTTATCGAAGAAAAGAGTCAGTACCAGTACTAGTCCCCCCCCCCCCCCTATTAATTTTGTAGGTAATTTTCTAGAGAACGATTTTTGGACCCTGTACGTGACCCTGATATCAACAAATATATATTCATCTTATATTATTCAAAGATCAACAGACGATCAAAACTAAAAGGATTGTAAAGTTAAAAGAGGTACTTTAATTTTTTCCTAAAATCATTTATTTCACCCAATTCAGCGAAGAAAAATCGATTTTGTTGGAGAGAGTAAAAACCCATTAAGTCCTAACTTTTAAGATCTTTTAAACCGTTCAATTGATTCACTTTAAGACACTTGTTTAATACTAGAGCAGAGTAGAGTATATTTATGACTAAGTATACACAGCAGTTGTATGATAAGGAGGGTTCAAGTGTTTATATGCATTATCAGGCAGGAAACAGGCACTAGGCTGTCAGGCAGAGACGAGGTTTAGTGATGAAAAATGCAATCGTGCATGAGGATTAAGGAACAGATGATGCAATATTTGAAACCGGCTTCATTTTCACAAAACATTTCTTTTTCTAATTAGCTATTTTGCCATGTTTTTCTAGACAAATTTGAAAAGTAATTAAATTTACGGGTTTTAAAATCGATATTGGGTCTGTCCTAGAGAACGTTTTTTGGACCCCCCCCCCTCCTATCAATTTTGTACACTACTTTTTCAACCATTTTCAATTAAATTAGTATTTATTTAGGGTTAGGTTAGGTTAAGACACTTTCTGGGCCGAGCGCTGCGGCTAGTACAGGCAAGGGGGCCCAGCGCTGCGGCCACATGTCTTACATTTCATTTAAGATCCATGTACAAAATTGATAGGAGGGGGGGGGGGGTCCATAAATCGCTCTCTAAGAAATTACCTCGATATTCTCGGGATGCTAATATGTAATAAGTTGTCTGTCCTGCCCTGTGAAAAAATAATTTCAAATTAAATCAAGTTGTATTTTACATCAAACATGAAAATTGGACATAGTTATCATTAAATAGACATCAGTGCTAAAGAACAATATTGGCAGCTTAAATTTTGAAATCTCTCATATTTTGTTTATTTTCATATTTTTTTTATAAAGAATTTATTTGTTAGATAAAGGGTTATATTTAAAAATGTCTCTTGGGAGTGGTTTTCTGGAGAATATTCCTCACTTTACATTCACACCATCAGAACATCAGGTAGGAAGAGAGGGGGGGGGGGTCGGATATCCGCTAAAGGGACTGTTGATCTAATTTTAATTAACTCTTCATTTGGAGAGTCGCATGCCCGATTCACCCTTTATCTGATCAATGATGTGGCTGATATCGTCGTTATTAGCTTTAAATGTGGTTATTTTTGACAACTTTCTCCATTTTTTGAAACCACAATTAAAATAATCTCGTTCATTCTTCATGAAGACAGGAATATACATATGTGGTATCAAATATTCGTTTTAGGTTCAACATGTACGTGTGGTAGCGTTTAGAAATGTTATGCATGTGTTACCACATGTGTCCATGAAGCAGCGTTTAGAAAAGTTTCATATGTGTTACCACATCAATATTTCAAATTTAATGTTTCCGTGTGGCAGCGTCTAGAAATGTCACCTTTTTTGCCTATTTTTGGGGGGTTAAACGTGTCCGTGTGGCATTGTCTAGAAATGTTATATTTTTTACCACATCAATATTTTAGGTTGAATGTGTCCGTGTGGGAGCGTCTAGGAATGTTACATATGTGTTACCACAACAACATGAAAAATCATTTTTGGCACTTATGGCTATTAAGGTAAAAAAATATAGGGGTGTATATTTCCATCAACACCCCCCCCCCCCCCCATTTAAAATCTTATTTCTCCTCCACATGTTAGGTATAAATTTTAAAAGGGTTATTTGCTCAATTTCCGAGAATAAACAATTTTGAGGGGAAAATTTGTGAATTTTCGGTTATCAAAGGGAAGAAAAACTTGCCTATGTCCATTTATTCATTTTTTTTCTCCTGATCATCAATAACTACTATAACTACAAGATAACAACGAAGATTTTTTCGTTATTAAATTAAATATAATTCAGGTATACTTTTTTTGACATGTATTATTTTTTCTCTGCTTCATTTAATGCTTTATTTAATGAGTCGGGGTTATATTTTTCCTAAATGTCCCAGACCCCCCCCCCCCATATTAGAATTACATTTTTGAGGCTGTGTGGGGAAGGGGGTTTGATTAGATACAATAAATGAAAATACAAATAACAATGTTTTTTAATTACTTATCTGAAAAGGAAAATATCCAACGAATTCTTTTTGTTTCCAGGAGAGGAGCAATTATATAAGAGCAGGGCTAGGAAAGGCATTAGTTTTGCTTTATAAAAAACATCAGGTAAAATACAGGGATTGTAAGCGTAATTTTAAAAGACCCTTCATGCAAAGATATCAATGCCCGACTTAAATTTCTCCAATTGTTTCCTAGAAGCAAGAAATGCGCAAGTCACATAAAAAAGCCACAAATCAGAATGGAGGATCACTTGAAATTACTCATACAGTTCTTTTAATAAATATTATTTGAATCCCTCAAAGGGTATTATCTCGAATTCAGCTTTTTTTCCAAATCCAACAATTTCACATAACGATTCATGCAGAAACCCAAGAGGAATTAAAAATTTTAAAGTTATTTAAAATTTTTTACTTCAATATTAACCCTTTGTAACTTGGTACTAGGTGTCCCTATGGGGAAATTTTTTGGGACGTATGACAGATTTGAAAGTGGAGGAGATAAAAGAAGATGTGGACGTTGATACAGGTTTGTTTTGTTTTAGCCAATATTTTTATAATCATTGAGAATATGAGTGGTGCTCAATGGCATTTCTTCTCTGATGCATTTGGTCTTCTTATGACAAAGATTTTGTACTTTTTATCCGCTTTTCTTCTCTTTCTTTACAATTTGTTTAATTTTTGGAAACGGTTTTATTTTTTTTCTCTCTCCTCTCCAAGAGTCTGTAAATTAACTTTCTTAACAATAATTAACAAAAAAGTCATTTAAGATTAGAAAGAAAGAGTCATTTAACCACTATCTTTTGTAATAATAATATACGTGTTGAAAAAATGCAAAACCTCGCCAAATATAACCAACTTTTTATTAAACATGACGAGGACAACAATTCCCAATTTTAAACTTTTTTTATAATCAAAATTAAAATAGGAGTTTTTTATGTTAAATCTCTTGACCGTTTTTAAGACAATGTCAGGTTTTCCATTTTCGAACATATCCTGAACTTGAAAAACTGTCGCGTTTGCGAGACAAATCCCACTTTCCCGTTTTTGGGTATAATCCACAATTCAAAATAAAACTCACTTTCATAACTTACAAAATAAATCACTGAAAACAAAAATTATCTTATGAAGACTAAATTAACTTCTGAATTATTGCTTGAATCTAAGTTCACACAGCTTATATGTTAAATTAGAGAGTATCGGTGATTTATTTTCAAGCATTTTAAACAGTTTCACGCATTTTTAGTGAAATCTAGATTGTAAAAACAATTTTGATTTCTCAATGCTGTACTGAAATTATTTTTTAATTATATAAGAACAGTTTGTTTTTATTTTCTATTTTGTTTGTATTTTACCTTATCAAAAACCCTTCTTTTGTTACGTAAGTGAGTAAATGCTTAAAAATTGACACTGAAATGAATTCGAGTAATTGTCTCAAAACCAGGATATGTTCCGAAAACGCGACATGAGCTGAAATCCGGTAATTGTTTCAAAATAGGGATATGATTGAAAATGAAATCAAGAATCATCAAAAACTAATTCTCACACCTTAATATCAGTTAAAAAATTGACATTTATTGTTTCAATATATAGTTTTAGCGATTTAAAAAAAATACAAGTCATAATTTTGTTCTTCTCGTCTTGGATTTAAAGATATATACTCTTGAAAAAGATAACTTTTCAGATTTGGCCCATTTCTAACACTCAGTGTTAGAAATGGGCCGTGTGTTCGTTTTGGAACTATTATCCCCTGTAGTTAAATAAGTAGCGTCTTTGTTTGAAACCTGAACCAATTTGAATGGGGAACTTGGTAGAACCTAGGGCATGGTCATAGCCTGGCTTAAACCTTCTATGTTAAGTGGGTTTTGTGTAGGGACAACTACAGGCAAAACTGGGTTTCCAAGTTAGTCAAAATATTGAGCCAATTAATTAATTCGATCAATCGGTTTAAAAGTTTTAATAATTAGGTCAGCTGCTGGGTAGATTGGAGACTGGTGGCGTCATAGTTAGTACACACTCATACTTCTCCTCTCTCCTCTCCAGGAAACTAATCAGCTTGTCCTCCTTCAACCTCGTCATAGTCGACAACATCCAGGCCAGCCTAGGGACAAAGGATACACACACTTTTCTGCAGGCGTATAGGTAGCAGACAGAATACTTGTCTAGAATCTTCATTTAGAATCCAAAAATATTTGTTTCATAGTCTTTCTATATATTCATATATATATGTATAAGGTAGTAATCTCTGTCTGTCAGTTTATCTGTTTGTTTGGTTGTCCGAGCAGAACTCATAAAGCCTTGAACCGATTTGCCTCAAATTTTGAATGGGGATTGAAAGAAAGATAGATAGATAGAAAGATAGAAAGATAGATAGATAGATAGATAAGCTGTTCAAGAACCATAATTATTGATAATTTGGCTACGTAATAAAGTAAAGTATATAATATTCGAAAAAGTTGTATTCTTTCAAATTTCAAAATTTATTGTTTAGAAACATCCCCCGGAACCAGGCACCAAGGTTAATATTCTTCACTCCAAACATCCTGAAATCCAACCCTCCGCATCTACAGTCTAGAGTTCCACAACAGCTGAGCCGATTAGAGCAGCTACTGCCGGCAGCTGTTGAATGCAGCTGCGAGGTAGCAACACAGCTGCGCTTCCTTGCTCGCCCAAGAGAAATCATAGTTTTGCATAAATCAAGCACTGCAGGTCAGTGAGCAGGGATATTGTTTAATTATATAGTTGATAGATTGGGTGGGTGGAATAGATGGTTGGGATAGTTGGTTGGTATAGTTGCTTGGTGAGTTAGTTGGTCCTTGGATGGGTCGATTGATTTATTGATTGATTGATTTGCTGCTTGGTTTTTGGTTACTGACGACTGAAATAAATGTCTCACGGTTAATAAAATCTTGAATTAATTGCCTATTGAAATATTTGTCATTTGAATTAATTTCTTGATATTTCTAAATTCTTTTTAGATCCTAGTTTCCCCCCGGAGGAACAAATTAGAAACATATTAGAAGAAATAAAGGTAAAATATTTTTATTTGTTGATTTAAATTAAATTTCAAAAATTTAATTATGAGTTTATCTCTGATGATAAGCTTTACACTATCAATTTATCCTGTTAGCGAATGGAGACAACATTGAAGATGAGGCTGGGAGCCCTCCTTCCCCCACCCTCCATTTCACTCTGATAGAAAATACACCAGAAATATGTGTTTGTAGCTGAATCAGTTTGAATTTAGTTACTGACTCATCTAATGTGTGTAGTGCAGTAAAATAGGAAAGCAGGCACCTTAACCTAGTTCTAAAGCTGGCAGCTTGGAAAACTGCTAGGATGTCCCCAAATTTTTTTTTTCCTTCAAATTTGCCGAAGTATGATTTAAAGATGTACGAACAAGAAGAAAATAATGTACAAGAAATAAAGAAATGTCAAAATATTTGCATCTGCTATCATATAACTATTTAAAGGAAATTGTTAAAAAATTTAAATTTTCAAATAGATATGTAAAAAAGTTCAGAGGAAGAAAGTTCCAAACTGTGATTTGGTTAAAATCTGAAATTAAGTGACAGGTTTGGAACTTTTGTCCCCTGGAGTTATTTCTATTTGACTGATTGAATAGGATTGGATAGAAGACCAGAACTACTCTTTGTACGACACCTACGGGGAGGAGTTCCAGGATCTTATTGCTGATATACCTGATCCTACCTTTACCCCCCTCAACATCATTCAGGAGTTCATCAGTGTTCTAGACAACCTAGGTAACCCCACCCCTCCTCCTTTAATCCCCTCAATATCATTCAGGAGTTCATCTGTATTCTAGACAACCTAGGTGACCCCCTTCCCCCTTCATTTACCCCCCAGAATGATTTTATCTGATTGTTTTGTTGTAGGTTTATGGTGCGCTGATCGTGCTGCTCTAGTTCTACTGATCAAGATTGACAAATTGAAAACAAGAGAAAAATATGAACGCCATTTTCTTCTTCTCTCAGTCCTCTTTACTGCCATGATTAAAATCCGCAAAATCTGTGACGATTTCTTCGGTGATATGGACGATTACGATAGAATTGTTAAGTTTAGTAAACCTAAGGTGCTAAAGCTGATTCAACTGTTAAATAATTATGTTCCGAAAGTGAAGGTAAAACCTGTGGAGCACGGTTCTAGTCCCGATGCTTCGGAGAACACGGAGCTGACTTCGTCCCGACCAGGTTCAGATAGTTCTCAAGATCAAGTTGAACGACCAGGTTTAGAGGAAACTACTCTAGGAGTTAGTAGAGAGAGTACAGCACCAACAGGAGAAATAAACAAATCTGGAGATTTCTCTAATAGTCTTAAACCTGGAAAATCTAATATGGAACCTAAACAAACCAGCTCAGAACCCTCAAAACCAATGTCAGAATCGAAAGATTTCAGCTCAGAGCCTGAAAAGCCCAGCTCAGAACTTGAAAACCCCAGCTTAAAACCTGAAAATCCCAGCTTAGAACCTGAAAACTCGAGCTTAGAATCTGAAAAACCTAGCTCGGAACCTGACCACTCAATCAGACCTAATAACCCTAGCCCTGAATCTGAGGATATAGAACCAACTGAATCCTCGTTGAAAAATAAACCCAACTCTACACTTCCAGGTACAGATTTGTGACAATTCTTATTTTAACTTGAAGTGGTCTTGGTTGCTCAAGTTGGGGCCTTCTAAAGTTCTGATCTCATCCTAGCTCGTATAGAGGAAAATGAGAGAGAGCGAGAGGGGCTTCACACTTTCTGCAGGACCTAAAGCAGGGCCTGTAAATATAAATCTTTATATATAAGGATAGGAAAAGGACTAGGACGAAATAAATAGGACATATATATATATATTAATTTAAGGAAAGGAAGAGGAATATGATAATCTTATGAGGAAAAAAATGTAATAATGGAAATTCTTAAACGAGATGAAATAATCTTGATGTATTCTTTAACGAAGGCCGCAGGCCTGAGTTAAAGAATGCATCAAGATTATTTCATCGAGTTTAAGAATACCATTATTACATTTTTATCCTCATAAGATTATTATTATATCATATTTGTGAGGTTCCATGGGCACATACCCAAGAAATTATATTAAAAAATAATTGCGGTGAAAACCGACTATTTCAAGTTGGAAGAGTTCACATTATGAAAGGTTGCAAATAAGTTTTATGCTCTTGTTCTGACTAACACTGTTTTTTATTTTTCTAATGTTAAAATGTTAAAAAAAAA